AATTATTTCTAACGAATTTCACACAAGGGTATGACGCACACACCCGATTATGCCCCATACATTTTCCATGGGTTTTGTAGGTAGACTGGTAAAGTGAAGGACGGTATTCTAAACTTGGAATATAAACGATGGGCCGACTAGAAAATCGATAAGACCCAGCGATGCAGACATATAATAATTTGATGTCGAACTCTGAGGTAACGATGCCCATAAATCGATTATTTTCTAATTTATTTTACGAGAATCGATTTGTTGACGATTAGTTTTTTGATCGTGTATTCTGATTGATATCTATTAACTTACTTGTGTGTAATAAGTAGTTGTTGTATATAATTTTAGGTTTAATAGACGTATATTAACATTGTTATTTTCTTACTTGTTCTATTTTGAGGAACTTCGGGTTTAAGTGGACCAACAAAGATTTACGATGAATTACGCTTCCAATATCAATGTTCAGAAACCTGAATATCTGACTGTAAGCTCTACTCAAGACTGTTGTATTAGCCCCCAGCGGCATGTGGAGAGCTAATAGTCAGCTTTTTGTAAAATACTGATATATTTTACCCTTAGGTATGTGGAATTCTAGTTACTTACTACTCAGTGCAAATATAAACTAGATGGAATTCAATTGACGTGAGTGTTGTAGTAGCCCCGAGGTTTAAGACGCCCGCTTTTCATGCATGAGGGTGCGGGTTCAAAATACCAACGGCAAGTACCAATGTGACTTTTTCCGACTTATATATATGTACTGTCTAAGATTATCTAGACACCACTGACAAACGGTGAAGGAAACCATCGTGAGGAAACCTGGGCTTATAATTTCTAATTACATTTTGTAATGGCCAACCCGCATTGAACAAGCGTGGTGATCAATTCTTAAACCTTCTCCGTATGAGAAGAGGCTTATCTTAGTAGTGGGAATTTATAGGCTGTTGATGAATTTAATTGACGATTTAGTCATTGTTTTAACTTAACCCAGGCAAATCAGAAGATATTGGTAATTGTAATTATAGGCTACGTAATACCTGTTACCTATCACCGGCAACACACCTGTGACTCCTCTGGTATTTCCGGTGTCCATGAGCGGCGCTTATAGCTTACCATCAGGTGATCCACTTACTATTTTCTATACAAAAATGCTACCGCGTTTAAGAATGTAGCCCACACAAGCCAAATCCGCAAGTAATACTAAGTACTACAAAAAGGTTCCTCTCAAAATTCCTATCACTCCGAATTTCTAAGGTAAAAATGCGAGGTGAGTTAGTACCTAGCAATCAAGATACCTCGTTACTAGGGCGATCACGTGCTAACAGTAATTGAGAGTGTTTTGGGATCATCACTGGCGTAAAACTGCCAAATTCTTTTACATTACTTAGTTATTTATTTTTGGGAACATGTTGTTTATCTGTGGGAATGATTTTGACTGCCTTGTTGGCCGAGTGGTCGCAAGTGCGATTGCCGGACAAGGGGTCTCGGGTTCGATTCCCGGTCGGGCAATTTATTAATGGGTTTTAAAAATAAATCTCAGTAGTAGCACGGAGTCTGGAATTGTGCGCGGTATATGGCAATAGGCTCACCCCCTATTACATGGGACTCATAACATAAATAGTGAAAAGTGTGTGTTACATTGTACAGTAGCATAATGTGCACCTCTGCTTACCCATTCGAGGATAAAAGGCGTGATGTTACGTTATATTATATTGTTATTCAATGGAAATATTCTAACTTAGCAATATCTCCACCATGCATCTTATAGCTAGCTCTATCTATGTTAGAACTAGCTGAATGTAGTCTCATTTCAGTAATGGCTCTCTCGATGATATATCATCGCTCGCGTTTTAATTTATGCAGTACATTCTTGATTTATTTCTACTTCAATGAATTTACTGTTCAATAATGTAGTGCAGGGCAATGTTGTCGATTCATTGGTCTCAGTATAATATTTTTATCATGTCTAAAGGCTTACTTTAAACTGTCAAACACCGCGCGGTCACCGACCGCGACCTATTGTTCTTTAATTGTGTCTATAATGACGGTACTCAAAGGGTTAATGGTGAGTATAGAGCTAGATTTTGACTGGTAAAATTTCTATGGACAGAAGAGATGAACGCTATTCTGTCTATATCTGTATTTTCTGTGTGCTTCCCCGTTGTGGAAGCATCCGCACATTCTGAATCAAGTTAATTACATTATTCGTGACACCGTAACTTCACTTTTAAAATTACTTGATTTCACTAATTTTTCTTAAGTATTTAAGTCGATAGGTAGGTACATTTTTAAAAAGACTGCTTCAATCATAAGTTTGAGGAGTAATCCAGGTGATCCGAAAGCGATCACCTGTGGCCGCTTTCCACTTACTTTATTATAGACCTTATTTCCGAACTTTAGATACTACTTTTGTATGAACAAATGTTGTGGACTTTTCATAATCAGTGATTAAGAAGTTAACGTGTCCTGTCGTTAATCTACAAGCGTGATTGAGTTTTAATTTTTTAAATCTATGTAATTTATGGAAGCTTAATTTGTTACCTCGCTTCTTATTAAATGGTATTTATTACATAAAAGTGGTTGTCATGATATTATACGTGCCTAATATAAATAAACAAATAATATCAATAAAACCTAAAATCTAAACTTCCATTACTTTATCAAACATTTTATTTCTCCAACTGTAATAATGTTAGAATTTAAACTCAGAACGCGGGTAGATAAAGTTGATTTATTATTTAATCTGTGGAAACACGGAAGCGCCGGCAGTCGTAAGTAGAGCAACTTTTTATATGAAACAAGATATAACACGCGTAGACTGGCTCTAATTCGCCAGTTTGAAAAAGGAATATACCTACGGTTATTTTTTAATTTTGTTAAAATAGAAGGGGATTTAATTTTTGGCGAGGAGATTTTGCTTGATGAGTTCTTTTTTTAAATGTAAATTATTTTTAACAACGTACCTATTTACTTTTTCGAATGCATGTAAATTGCAGGAATTTGGAAGCAAAGGGTGTTTGTCTAATGTGATTATATATCATGTTTTTATTTTACATAAATACTTTTTTAACAGGGATATTAGGTAAAGTAAAGTTTTTGAAAGTATTAATTAGACCTTTATCTTAAATTACAACTGTTACGAGGCAGTCATAATGGTCATAACACAAGTGATAAAAATAGGTTGTATATAAATTACTTCGTGCTTAAAAGATGTGACTTTGTTATATAATATAGAAATATTGATGATAAAATGAGCAAAATACAATATATTACCTTAATAAGAGATGTAGACCTGATACAGTAAGATGCCTGTACTAGGAAAGCCTTGTATCATAGGCGAAAGTAGTATTAAAAGGTGTGAAGTTGTTTACTTTAAGATGGTTAATAGTTATGTTAATCATCATCATCAGCCCGTATTCGTCCACTGCTGGACATAGCCTCTGCAATGGCACGCCACTGAGCTCGGTCTTTAGCTCTTCTGATCCAACCACTGCCAGCCTCCTTGCGGATAACGTCACTCCACCAAGCTGGAGGGCGCCCTACACTACGTTTACCTAGACGCGGTCTCCACTCTAGAACACGTTTACCCCAACGGTTATCGGTTCTTCGACAAATGTGACCGGCCCACTGCCACTTCAGCTTACTGATCCTTTGGGCTATGTCGATAAATTTGGTTCTCTGTCGGATCACTTCGTTTCTGATTGGATCCTTCAAAGAGACTCCGAGTATAGCCCTCTCCATAGCTATGTTAATTAATAACTATTGATAAATATTTATTTAACTTTACGCAACAAAATGTATAATGTACTAATACCACTTTTCCACACAGTCACATAGGAGTATCAATAGAGTCGTTTTTAGTCAGTAACAGTTTTACACTCCTTCTCGCCCCACTTATGGCGGAAGAAAACATTGAATGTTGATATTCACTCCTAAAAATAATAGAACTTATCATAAATACTAACCTTAAATATTATGTCGAAAAAATAATAATAACAGTACTTTTATAAACAAATAAAATATCTTGATTTGGCTCACGAGGTTGTCGACATGTCGAATGTGGATTCGGCTATCATTGTGTCGATAGCCGTGTTGGCCAATGGGTTAATCCATAATAGCCTTGACAACCACCTTAGGAGGCTGGCGTTAGGCAGTTAGGTCAAGGGCTTGATACAGAAGGCAGTTCTCCTTGTAACGGCGCGTATAGTGATGAGGTTTCTGTCTCTGGAGCCCAAACCAGCTTGGACCATGCTCCCACTACTGGTCGTCTCAAAGTGCTGGCTAGTATTTCAAAATGTATTTTTAGACATAATACATAATAGTAGGGGAGCCCACGATGCTAAATTTGGATTTACTCGAGCGTCGTTGGGACCTACTGGATTTTGAAGATATGCTGATAGAAAGAAGAAATGGTTTAGTGACAATTTCTTACACCGGTGGCGGAAGGAGGAATCCACAGATCTTTGAAATTGTTAAGCGTAACTTTTGTTCTAGTGATCGAGCGTATCAGATATTGATAGTGTACATGCTCCATGTGTATTTAATAATAAAAAACTCTTAATCTGCCAGTTTGCATCGTGAGGTTGAATGATCTGGAGAGAACAAACGAAAACCCTTCAATATCCCCCCACTCTTGCAAATCTAGTTGTAATGGACAGATTTTTTAAACACACTTCCTTTAGCATGGTATTGACCTACCTGCCCTTAATCTGACGAAACGGAATTTATTAAGTCAGACTTTTTTAAAAAATTTTAGTCCCCCCCTTCTAATCAGATTGGATATATGGTGGGTATATTCAACATGACACTAGGTTTTCCCCATATGTTAATCTGACGCGCTCGAGTAACTACTGAAATCCCTTCATGGGCTCCCCTACTAGAAAGAAAGAAAGAAAGAAAGAAAAAGCATTTATTTGGCACATGGCACACAAACAAAGATTATGAAAAATAAAAAAAAAACTACTATAAAAACTTTTCAAAGATTTTAATTTATATAATATTATTTGTTACAGAAAGTTCATCCCGCTACATATAATTGAAGAGGATAGTTACGAAAAGGACGTCCTGTTTTATGTCAACCTCGGCGACCCGGAGCTGCTTGGGGGTAAGACATAATTTTTGTACTTCTTAAAGGACACAATACCTTTTGTACATAATGGATTAAGAACTTTAATTGTGTAAGATAAGGATCTAAATTGATTGTTGGTGTTTTGCTGTTGTATCATTTTTAACTCCGGTCAGAAATGAAGTCTTGAAGTGAAAATTATTTCTGAACTTAACGAATGATAGCAGTTTTTACAATAATTGAGGGATCCAGAGCCATTATGTACAAAACATTCTTTACTAAATATTAAGTAATATAGATTTTTTTTTGTTTTATTCAAAACTCAACAATAAGTTCTTTTTTTTAAGGTTTGTAGTATGTATATCAATTATTATAGACTAGATATTTGATCTTATCGATCTATTTTGATCTATAATAGCATGCTATGCATGTTTCAAATTTTTATGGAATGATATATTTTTATTATATTAGCATGAAAAAATAATTATCAGTATTTTCTATATGCATGATGTATAAAAATAAATATTCTTGCATATGATCATATTTTTTTTCTTTTATTTCCACTACTGGATGTAAATTAATGTAAATATTAATATTTATTTAGATATTAATGTAAAAAAATTGACAATAGTTTAGATTTAGGACTTATAGTAACAATTTTTTAATTATATTGATCGTATTTCGACTTTATGATAGTAATAGAAAGAACTATTTTGGAAAAATATATTTCTTTTTGTATCACGATACCATAAATGTCAACGTTTTATAGCTTTGTAAATAAAAATAATTTACATACTGCAGAAAATGCAGTTTCATAAAAATATTAAGTGCGAAATATGATTAAAAACATTCAGCAAATATAATTACAGCATTTATTTTTAACTTTCAAGTTTGAATCAAACTATTTTTGTTCCAACTTTGATTTGATACAATGTGTAATTTGTATAATTTTTAAATAATATCCCTTTTGTTTTTTAAGAGGTCAAATTAAATTAACTAAAATCGCGGGTTACTCACGTGAATATATTGAGAAAAAGTCTACTAGTTTAATGAGCAGCGTGCGCGGTCGCGGCGACGTCGCATAGCTCACGACGTCCCCAGGAAGAACCCCTCTGTGGTTCGAAACTAGTAGAGCTTTTCTCAGTATATTCACATGAGTAACCCGCGATTTCAGTTAATCTAGTAAAACAGGTCAAATTAAGTACCTCAATAAAATATACACGAAAAATACTATGAACAATGAAAAAAAAAACCACTTTGATAAAACTTTTCACACGCTTTCAATTGAATTAAATGGAGGCTTTAATTTGTTTCAGCTTGCGTAATTGTTTCAATATATACATTTTGTAACAGTACAATTGATCGTAAATATATGTACAGTACATAATATTTTTTTTCTTTTTTTTTATACGTTGCCCTACACTAGGATTTTCTCTTGTGTCGTGGGTGCCTTTACAAACATACAAGTTCATATACACAATGACACCCAGACCCGAAACAACAATTTGTGGATCACACAAAGTATTGTCTCGTGCGGGTAGCGAACCCGCGACACGTTGCACGGCAGCCAGTTGCCCAGCCACCGCACCAACCGTGCAGTCAAATATGATACAGAAATGTTCACACATTCATTTCTTAAGCCTTTAACTGCCGATAAAAACCGTTAAAGGCTAATATTTAATGTGTTAATATATATATATATATATATTCCCTTTATATATTATTAGGGAATATATATATATATATATATTCCCTTTATATATTATTAGCTGTTGCCCGCGACTATGTCCGCGTAGAATATGATTTCTGTTTAATCCCATGGGAGTATTTAATCGGCATAAAAAGTATCCTGTTAACTAAGACAGCTCATAGGTACTTTTTGCCTGTATACTAAATTTCATTAAAATTCGTTCAGTAGTTTCAGCGTGATTGACGAACAAATATCCATACATACAAACAAAGAAACTTTCACATATATAATATTTTTTTATATTTGATGGGCTGACGTTAGACCTCTATCTCGCCTGGTAGTAAACGATGATGCGGTCTACGATGGAGCACGTCGTCTTATAAGCAACCTATTCACTCGGGGTTTGATACTCCCAGGAAATACAATACGATTAATATGATGATTATGTAGGTATAAATTATAAGTGACAACACATTTGATAGAGATCGGACCGCAGTGATGTGTTCTCTAAAGAACTTAAACTTTTTTAACAGCCAATCTCTAATTCACTATAAAGCGTGAACAGTATGGAAAAGTCTCTAATGTCGACAGTCCACTGTCACAAGCTTGTCATTACACATTGTATATTGTTTAATTAGACTCAAATTTTATATTTTAAATATTTTGTCTGAATTATATTGCTGTATGTTTCTCTAGTGTAATATATTTTAGATGAAAGATGGAGAACCTTTAACGACAAAGCCATTTGAATTAAGTTGTAGGTACATGGTTGCTGATAACGAACAATCAAAATATGTATTATAACATAAGTATTCAACTAAGATATTCAAGGATCATGTTATTTCTACTTTTGAAAAGTCATCGTTTAAATTGCAACCTAAATCGCTAGTTTATACGGTTTATTTTTCTTCACATGTAAATATTGGCATTTATATCTATTTACCACAAAGAATGATTATATTTTTGTTTTAAGTTTTTTTTTCATATACTTACGAAAAGTCATATATCAATTCCATTTCTACATGAAATCCAACACTTCTTATGCTCGTAAAAGGTTCTCCATCTACCATAGAAAATAGTGGCCATCGCTTAAATAGCCCTTTTGTTTGTGCATGATTAACCCTAATTCTGCAGAGGTGTTCGAAACATTCCTACCAGACGCATCAGCCTCCGTGGCGGTACAATTCTCACCCGGTAAGTTATACCCACGCAATTTGTGTAATGGACGCAGCGTTAGCAAAATGATGAAGTAATATTTTTGTAAATTGCTGATTCCCTTGAGATGTCTGTGTTAAGTTGTGTAGTTGTTTGATGGGTTTCTTTCTAATGTTTTGCGTAAAGTATCTTATCTTTTTTGTATTTAAAATACATACGGCTCATCAAGTATATAAAAAACTTCAAAGACTTCTTTAAACTTAACATCTTAAAATTTGAAAAATTATGCCACGTATGCCACATTGCTTGAAGATTTTAAAAGAGAAATTTAAGTTGTTTCAAGACAACGATATTGTGATACCTACCCTAAACCCTGTGAATGCCGTGGAGATCCTAACGGGTTACCGGGGCTCGAAGTGTAGGAGTAGAAACGGGGTGGTTTTTAGTCAGTAAGAGTCTGATACTCCCTCCCGCCTCACCCAGGCGGGAGCAGTCATTCGATGATTTTCCCTCTTAAAAAAACCCTATCAATATTTACCCATAACACCTACAGAATCTTGTCCCAAATCCGCAAACACCATGAAAAGCTTTCACATAGAACATCTTACCAACACGACAAACACATAAACGTGTAACGTCAAAAAATCACGCCCATCCCGAGAGATTTCATTTCCAAATCCAGAATAATCCCGCCTTTCAAATTCACGCCAGATCTGTCACTCAATTCTTATTATATCCCCAACAATTACTTAGATACTCCAATTCTCGGGAATCCGTAATTTATTAAATGCCGTCTTTCGGGAATTGTATACAATACAATAAGTATCGTAGGAAATGTCTACAGTATACAAAATATTAATTGTTGAATGAAGCTATTTATTAACAAAGCTGGCGTTGCGTCCATTACAGTTTGTCACTGAAATGGATTGACGTGTTGTCCATTTAGTTTGAGTAATATTGTCAGTCACTGGCTCTATGATCGTCTGACCTAGATTGTGGAGTTTCTTAGAAAGACTAGATTTAAGTGTAAGCTACTTTGTTTTATTCATTTAACAACTCATAGGAAGATAATAATTATGTTTCGGATTGTAACTGTTTTTAGGGTCAGAAAAGACATTTTGGCGTTTGATTGTTTATTTGCAATTCTTTTGTTAAGAATCAAGTGTCGTGGTGGCAAGGAGATTTAAGGCGCCTGCTTCTCATGCTTGAGTGTGCGAGTTCGAAACCTACCATCGGCAAATACCAATGTGACGTTTTCCGAGTTATATGTACTTTCTAAGATTATTTAGACACCCCTGACAAACGGTGAAGAAAAACACTGTGAGGAAACCTGATCTTATAATTTGTAATTATAAGTTTGAAAATCGCCAACCCGCATTGAGCAAGCGTGGTGGTTAATGCTCAAACCTTTTCCGTATGAGAAAAGGCTTTGCTCAGCAGTTGGCATTTATAGGCTGTTGATGTATATATGTTATTCTTTTGTTTGATACCACTGAGAGGTACGTTATAATAACATGATAACTATTATTATTCAACTTTGGAAGGTAGCATAAAAAATAATGCTTGAATTGGACTGGTTGGTCAAAAAAGTTAACATTCTGTAGATTTTTATGAAAAATAACAAGTTATCATACCTGCTTAATAGATAACAGAATTTAATTTTTAACAGTTACTATTATACGGTTCATTTTTGAATGCATTGTGTAATGAATCTGTATATATATTGCGTATTGTTTTCGTGGCAATATAACTTTTAATTGCAAAATATAATCAATACAAAATTCACTGAAACACACAATTCCAAAACTGACAGAGACTCTGCTTTTATATGTAAAAGTGGATACAGTATCGATATTGATACCAACCAATTTGCTGATATCAATAAAAATCTATTGGAATAAAATAGTTTTATTTGACACAACAACGATGAAAAACATAATTTTATTTGTTTACAATGGTAGTAAGATGGGTAATGGCATTTGATGATACATATTATTATATAGACGGTCAACAGTAACTTGCCTGCAGCAATAGAGACATTATAAGTATACACGGCTACACATCGAGCTTTAAATAACCAGTATAAACTGAACGTTACATGTGCGGAAAGATGATGCGACGCAACACCAGGATAAACTGGTTTTGTATAGGTTGATGTGTGGTCGTGTGTACATTGCGGACCACGAAAGATTCTTTTTAATTTTTTTTTTTTTAAGGGGGAAAAATCGTCGAATGACTGCTCCCGCCTGGGTGAGGCGAGAGGGAGTGTCAGACTCTTACTGACTAAAAACCACCCCGTTCCTTCTCCTGTACGTCGAGCCGGAGCCCCGGTTACCCGTTAGGTTCTCCGCGACTCCGAATCGGCATCGGCCGTATTGGGCCCCATCTGTGGTGGTCTGATGGCTCTTTGAGGCGGCTTCTTTAAATATTATTGCACCGTCGGTTTTAGTGGAACGCTCTCTCTAAGATGATGCTATCCTGAAAATAACATATCGCTCAGAATAAAATAAATAGTGATATTATGATTGCTAAATGATCCGAGTTTTTGGCTCGCACTTGGAACAATCAGATTTTAATATTATTCTGTGTCGTTAAACAATTTATTTATATGATTTTCTACAAATTGGAAATGGCTTATTTTATCGTAGACTATTGTATTGTACATATTTTCCAGGTCGTTAATTTTATATATATATCCATATAGTTGAACAATTTTGTGTGTAATTGAATATGTGAATATTGGTTAACTATGTGACACATACGTTTGAACAAATTAAATTAAATGAAATGACACTATGTAGGTTTTATTTATTTATAAATATTAAATTGGAACTTTAAAGTAACTTCTATCTTTCCTCGAATGTACCAACAGGTACTGAATAAAATAGCCCTTTTCTTGACAAAGGTCTATATAACATACTTCTTTACTTACACAATATTTAAGCATACAATTGACATTAAAATCGTCTTCGAAGTGTCATTAATATACGACGATATATTGTTTTTAATTATTGTTTTATAAACATTGCCCACACACATTTGAATTTTCTCCTGTGTCGTGGGTGCGTTTACAAACATACAAGTTCATATACACATGACGCCCAGACCCGGAACAACAATTTGTGGATAACACAAACAGTTGTTCCATGCGGGAATCGAACCCGCAACACGTTGCGCGGTAGCCGGTTGCCCAGCCACCGCACTAACCGTGCAGGCATATAGAAACAATTGAACGCCAAATATCTCAATTCTGACATATTACTCTCGCTTCATCCACATTCATCTATCACTTCATCCACACTCATCTACTTCGACATCCAAGCTCATCTGTTGTTGGGGCTTTCAATTGTCTGTATCTGTTTTAGATAATGTAAAGGTAAGTTGTCTGTTTATGATTTTGTAACTATAAAAAGTTTTCATTGTTTTTGCTTGCTTGTAAATATTTGTAGATTATCTAGTCTGTATATACCTACATGTATAAGTAATTGTTTGTATATACATGTAGTGAATGTGATTTGCATGTAATTATTATGTGTGACATTCTTGTGTATATTATGTAGTGTTATTTGTAGTGTATCTTCTGTCTAATAGGTACCTAAATGACTTCATTTGAAGACTCTTTGTGCTTAATTTACATATGATAAACAAACTAAACAATTCTTTAACCTGTGAACTGTCGAAATGTAGATCTACGCGAGACACAATGTTTTTTCTATTGTATCTCAAATATATTTCGACAGACTAGAGGTTAATGTATCACGTATAAATAGGAAATCGTATTAATAGTTAATTATATGAAATTTTTTTTTGATTGTTGAATATCTTACGATGACTTCTCCCGCCTAGAGTTAGACGAGAGGGAGTGTCAGACTCTTACTAACTAAATACCACCCCGTTCCTACTCCTGCTGTTCGAGTTGGAGCCCTGGCAACCTGTTAGGCCTTCCGCAGCTATTTACATGAAGATATATTATATATATTAATACAAATATCTGATTTTACACTTAAACTCCAACTTATCTGAAAAACAGCATAAAATATAACTCAAATTTCAATACATGGAAATGTACAATTGTGAGTATTCAAAGTACTTTATGGAACAAAACAAAATCGATCACCGTATATCATCAGGACTCTGTACCAATTTATATATACATACAACACTTACTTATATACATGACTGCTTCCTTTATTGAGTGGTTTCAAGGGATTCTGACAGACACATAAATAAGGCTTACATTTGATCTACATTAAGAACAAGAACATAATACATGATCTTTTGATTTGTATCCTGGAATGTTTGGTATGAGCCTAACTCTTTTTCACCAGAAATAATTAGGTACATGACTAGTGAAACGTTGGTGTAATATAGAACTTCTCTCATATTGAACAAGGTCCATATTAAAAAGCATCCTCAACAGAGCATTTATGAAAAGAATCAATCTCTTACATAAATGATAGATGAAATAAAAGAGATGTATTTTTTTCATATTTTATGGGCCAACGTTTGACCACTATCTCGCATGGTGATAACCGATGATGCGGTCAACATTGGAGCACGTCGTCCCATAAGCAACCTATTTACTCGGGTCCTAGAATGGGGTAGATGACTAATTTTTATTTTAATGTCCGTCTGGTATATTATTTCAAAATATTGCACACGTGTTTTTTATTATTTTTTACAGAAACGAATACTTTCGACAATATTTTGATTTGAAATGTCGCGTGACGTCACTTCTATGTACATTTTATATGTAGAAATTACGTTTTAGCCACTACTCCTAAACTTTGATTCGTTATATCTAAGTATAATTTTATTATACAACAAAATAAAAAAAAAATATGTGTCTAATATGTTTTTCATTACCTAACTGACGGACTTATTAGATTTTTAATTTTCATCTTGTCATCATCCCTATTATGCTAATTATGATTCCATTTTTTTATCTATACTACGTAGCTTACAAAGTGTTTATTCAGCTGTTAGTAACAGTGCCTAGTTGGTCCATTGATTAATTTAGATCTCGCATATTAAATTAG